CATTTGCTCCTTTATAGGTAGTATAAATGGATAATCGGACCCAAGTCCAACCATAAATCATGGAGGAGGAATTTTCTCCATTTCCTAGCTCCTAACACATTCTTTTCATTTTTTGTATGTCCTTTGCGCCAAATATTCCTTTCCACACCCACGAGGCATTACTCGTGGGTCTAATATTCCAATAATTCTTATTTTTGACATATTGCTTTACTTTTTTAGGTCACTTACCAACCAATAGTTGTTTTACATATGTGGCATTTTGGAAGTCTTTCCATGTGTTGTTTTGGGCTTCGATGGAAGACTGTAAATTGGTCATTTTCTATTTAGTAGCAAAAAAAAGGGAAGACACCCAAAAAGACTTTAAAAGACTGAAATTCATGAAGGAAGCTTTAAATAAAGCTTTTGAGTTTTTTCACATGATAAATAGCCTTTAGATGTATTTTTTGGAACCCACTATATCAAACCACTTACCAAATTATCTTTATCTTTAAAATCAATACCCCACAACTCGGTAAGTCTTTGGTTGGAAGATCTTTCTAAAAAGATTTGACAAATGCTACCATGATTATTTAGGCATACCTTTTAGTTTCTATCTACTAAGGTTATCAATGGGTCAGAACTGTCCCACTAAACCGAATTAACCAAACTAATTTTTGTCAGGTTTGGATCTACGATTTTATCACAAATAATAATTCGGTTCAGACCACTTATTTTTATTTATTACCAAGTTAAGGCCTAAACTGATTATATAATTAATAGTATATACATGTGTCTTGGTCTTCTTTAATATTTGTTATACTTTATGTCTAAAATGGCAAATTTTATGAACAACATATAAGATCATTTTGGTTGAAACATTTATTTTATGGCCATATAAGATTCTTGGTATTTTAATTTTATTTTTATTAAAGCTTATCTATACCATATAAAGTTAATACTTATCTAGTTTTTGTGCATGTCAAAGTTAAATTTAACCATATAACATTAACTTAGGGTTCGCTTGGTTCATAGTCAAAATTGGAATTGGGATTAGAATTTGAATCTTTCGGAATCAGAATTTGAATGGTATATTCCCCTTACTTGTTTGGTTCATATTGGAATCAGAAAATGGGATCAGAATTAGATGGAATATGGATTCTCATTCCCATGGGAAGGGAGATGGCCCATTCCCTCAAATAGGGGAATGCCATTCCACTAGTATCCAATAATGGAAATGAGATTCCGATTCCGCCCAACGAAAAGTTGAAATCAAAATGAATCAGTCTGATTCCAATTCTAGACCCCTATTCCCTCACTAGCCAAATGGACCCTTATATCTTCATCCTTTACTTGTACACATGCATGGCATGTGACCTTACACTAGTATTATCAAAAGGAAAATTACAACAAAAAAAGAAAAAGAGAAGATACCGTGTATTTACACTTTCATAAATCAACACTCAAGTATAGTGTCACTAACCAATGTTATAATGAGTGGTAAAATTACCAAAATGCCTATTCACAATTTAGTAGGTTGATATATGTTTTTCAATGCAGAAAGGTTGATGCACATTACTTAAATGCTTAATTCAATTTTGAAAATGAAAATATGAATGTAAGGGTTGACAACTAGGGTTTTAGGCACTCAATAGTGGAGAGGGCAAAACATTCTCATAAAATATGTGAAGGCTAACTTTGGAAGTTTGAAATGCTTCAAGGCATACATGACATTACATGCTCTAGAAAAATGATGAAATGCCAATGGCTGGTCTTGAGTGTTGATTTTCGAAAGTACAGGACACCTAATTGTTGTAATCGAAATTTGAGGCCTTTAAGTGTTACTACTCCGAAGTACAAGGTAGGGGTGCAAGTCTGACGGGTTGGTTTGGGTTTTAGCTTAACCCAAGCCCAACCCCAAAAAATTGGACCTAAAGCCCAAGTTTGGCCCAAACCCAAGGTCAAGCCCGAACTATTCAGCCCCAAGCCTAGCCTGCAATAAAATTTGGTGCATTTGGGTTGGGCTCAAACATGGGCTAAGCTTGAGTTGGGCTTGGGTTGGTCAATTAACCCACACTAAATATTGATATACATTCGTGTGTATATGTATACATGCATTCATATATGTATAATTTATTAAAAAATATGCATATGTGCATAGGGGTGGCAATTTTTCAACCCAACCCAACCATTAATTGGTGGGTTGGGTTGTATCCATTTAGTCCCGGGTCTGGTGGGTTGGGCAACCCAACAAGGGAGAGGCTTAATGGTTTGGGTGGGTTGGGTCATGGTTATCCAACAGATAACCCATTAGCCTCTTCATATTTCCATGGCACTCTCTTTATCGGTCACCTCATTCGTCTTTTCTAGTAGACAAATACCAACGTTTTAAAAAACAACCCGGAAATAGAACCGTTCTGGCCACCGGTTTCCGGTTTGAACGGACAGCCCATTCTATCAAACAAATTAAAAAATAAAAAATAATTAAAAATAAAAAACGGTCAAAAAACATTGAATGGGTTGATGAGTTGATGGTTCAACCATTCGGGTCAATGGGTTGTTGACTTTTTCAACGGCTTTTGGCCAAAAACCGGGTTTGGGGTAAAACGAAACTGCTTGCTTGGACGGTTCCCAAGCCAAACGGTCCAACCGTCTGAGTCAATGACGGTTTGAAATGGGAGAAAAGAAATCATCAATGTTTTTCGAACCGCCGTTAACCTGGACAATCAGATCGTTCAGCCTGGGAACTATCCAGGCAAACGGTTTTGTTTTACCCCAAACCCAGTTTTGGCCAAAAACTATTGAAAAAGTCAACAACTTGTTGACCCGAGCGATCGAACTGCCGACCTGTTCAATGGTTTTGACCATTTTTTATTTTTTATTTTTAACTATTTATTTATTTATTTATTTATTTTTTTTTATTTATTTGTCAAAACGAACCGTCTGTTTAAACCGAATAATCGGATTGTTGACCCAAAAATCAGTGACCAAAACGATTCCATTTCCAAATTATTTTTTAAAACATTGTTTTCTCCTATTATTTATAATTATAAATGGTGATCAAATCGATTAAGGAATCAATAGCTCTCTCGAAGTGGTAGGAAACAACATCAAAAGTTCTTAGTGGATGCTCAACAAATCGAAAAATCACATTCACTTCTTAGTAAGATGCTCAACAAACCAAAAAATTAGAGGGCGCAGAGATGAATTCAAGGGGTTGGGCTGGGTGTTGTAATTGTATGCATTGGGAATGATGAGGTACATGAGCTCCCACTCCAACGTCATTGCCAATTGCGATGAAATACTCAATGTGAGCCCCTTCACCTATATAAATCTGTTTCTCCATATTCATGTTTTTGTTTTTTGTGTTCTTTTTCGTTATTTTTCTATAATTTCTCCTTTCTTAATTTTTTATGTTTTCTATAATTTTTGTTATATTATTTTATATTTTTGTTATTTTATGTAATTTCTACTTTCTTTTTTTTTGTAAATGGTTTTCTACAGTTTCTATGTTGTAATTTTCACAATAATACTGTTTTCCAAGGTTTTCGAACCGTTGTTGATCCAGACGGTCGGACCATTTGGCCCGGAAATTGTCTAAGCAAGTGGTTTCGTTTTACCCCAAACCCAATTTTTGGCCAAAAACCATTGAAAAAGTCAACAACCTATTGACTCGGGCGATCAAACCATCGACCCGTCAACCTGTTCAACGGTTTTTGATTAGTTTTTTTATTTTTCATTTTTTTAATTTGTTTGTCAGAATGGGCCGTCAACCCAGAAATCGGTGGCTAAAACGGTTCTGTTTCTAGGTCGTTTTTTAAAATGTTGGTTTTTTCACATGTATAGAAAGGACAAAATGAAAGTTGCATTTTCTATTTTTTCAACTTTTCATGTAATTTCTATTAATTTTATGCATTTTTTGTTTTGTTTAATTTCTATTTTATTTCCTATAATTTCTACCATTTTATGTAATTTTCATTATTTTATCTAAATGGGTTGGATTGGGTTGGGTTGGGTTCAGGTGTGTTTGGGTTGAACCCAACCCATTTAATTCTATCTAATTGGGTCATTAATGGATTGGCGGATTAGATGGGTTAGGTTGAAACTCAATCTAAACCGAACCAAACCCAACCCGCCCAATTGCCACCTTTGTATATGCATATGTATCCTTGCAAATGTGTCTACATATGCATGTATACATGTATATAATCAGGCTAAGCTTACGTTGGGATAAGGTCGGGCTGGTCTTAGGCCATGTTCAGGCTTCCTAAGGGCTAGGCTTGAGCCTAATTTGAAAATTTTAAAAGCTCAAACTTTTGGACCCAAGCCCAACCCGAGAAGCAACATTTTAAGCCCATCTTGTGTAAAATTGCGGGGTCTTTCCAGGCTCAAGTTGGGCCTACCCAAGTTACACCCCTACTACAAGGTGAAGTTCCAACTTCCAAGTAGAGGTGCAACTTGGGCAAGCTAAAGTTGGGGTTTCGTCAAAATTTGGATACGCCTGGCCTGAAAACCCAAACTCAATGCAGTGTAATATTAGACTTGCACCCCTACTTCCAAGTTATTTTCATTGGCAAGTATAGATGCCAAGTATAGTCAAGTCTAGTCAGGTCATACCCAACTGCCTTATTAAAAATTGATTTGGTTTGGTTATCTCCCTTCCTAATTAATAATTGGTTTGGGATTGAAACATCTGTCTTGAACCAAACTCAACTTGATAACTTCAATTATTAAGGTGGTGTTTGGCTTTATTTCCAGAAAAATGACAATGCAATGGTTTGGTGTTTTTTTCTAGAAAATGATAATTTGTAGATGTATTTGATTCTATTGTCGTTTTCCGAGAAAGTGGTGCCACGTTGGAGCATGTTAGTGATAATACATTGCAATGTTCTTGAGAAAGCAAAAAAATGTCAGAAATTATGTTTCTCAAAATGTTTTTTTTTTTGTCCAGAATGGGGTGATTTTTTTTTCTTTTTCTTGAAAAAATTGATGAACCAATCAGCATATTACAAATTTACAATGCACTTTCTGCCATTCTTGAAAATATCTAATGCGGCTCCAATGTGATACCACTTTTCTTGTAAAACAACAATGAAACCAAATAAAATCGGATTTGCTCCTCACACATTTGGTCTTCACAACCCTTGCATCTGCTGTGCACTGGGAACGTTTTTTCATGAATAAAACATATAAGTACGGAGATGTTAAAGATGCGTGTGGCAGCAAAAGTTGTGAGGACTGATTTTGTTAAGAGAAATTCAGAACTCCCAAACAGCTACATCGTCTGCTACTGTTGGAGCTGCAATAAAACCTGCATCAGACCCTGCAACCCATGGCGTGGTGGCATTGATGGACTGCTACCAGTAAGCTGGGATTTCGGAAACTCCTTGATCTATACTGGAGGCCAATGCAAGATTGGAGCTGCAAAGATGGACTGTTGCCGGAGGTAAGGTGGGATTTGGCCGGAATTCCTGCAGAGTTAAAAGCTACGGCAACGGATCTGGTAGCAGCAGCCATGAAAGTTCTAGCAAATGTCCCAACGACAACGACAACTGTTATTGGGTTTATCACTTGGAACATCTTCTTCCCCTTCCAACCTTGTCAAAGCTTCCATGGGCTCATTTTCCCTCTTCTAAGAAAAGTAGCGACGTCTCTCTTAGCATCAGCGACTGTGCTCACCTTGAACGTTGAAATCTTCCCCGTAGCCCTTAGTATTCTTGACTGCACACCCCCTGTGTTCCGACCAGGTGACTCCCGTCTTTGAGGCCGCCCCTATTCCTTCCTCTTCATCCTCCACTACCATCCATCGAAGCTTTCTAGCCAGTCTAGCAAACAATGAATCTGATCCTTATGACTTTTGCAGCCAGGGCCTCGAGGATCTCGTGTGCTGCCTCAACGTCCCCCCATTTCAAGTTTTCTTCTACAACTTCGGTGAAACCCCACTGTTTCAGAGGTTCCGATGACTTTTACAGTCAGATTTTCTTCTATAACTCCATTATTTCGACAGTTACAGCGGTTCCAATGGTAACAACGAAGGAAATAAGGAGAGGTGGAGAACCAGTGGAGGTTAACACACATCTGTTAAAAGACTTTAACGATTAAGAAGGATTAGTTAATTATCAAAAACAATAGGGATAGCACCAGTCAATTTTTAAACAATATTAGTACATTTAGTCAATTAGTCAATTTTCAAACGGTAGGGTATACTAGTCAATTATCTAAATCATAAGGACAGTTTAAGAAATTTACCCTTTTATATATCGGAGTTTGGCTCGGGCCTGAATGTATTTTTTGTTAATAAAGAGGTCTCGTTGGTGGGTTGTAAGTTTTCCGGTATCATGTCCTTCCGGTTAACCGTTGATATCAAAAGGAGGTAAACGAGCTTCTTCTATTCAAAAGCCGATCACTTTTACGAGCGACCCTCACTGCAAAACGGTTCCATCCAGCACTACAACTGCAACCAAGAAACTCCACCCATAAGAGATTAGTAGGAGGGTGGCGGTGCAGGAATTCGAAATTTCTTCCATGAAACCAGCTCCCAACGAGGTTGCGAAGCTAATAGGCAAAGCACTAATATCAGCTTCGAATCGTTTAAGACCAATCCGGTCATGGAACCCTTCACTTGAGCAGACACTCCACCAACTTAGTTGTCGAGACTCGCTCACCCCATCACTCGTTGCCCGAGTAATTGACCCATATCTCCTCGATCACCATTCACTTGCTGTTGGCTTCTTCAATTGGGCTTCTCAGCAACCTAGATTTTCACATACGTCTGTTACCTATCAATCTCTCCTCAAATCACTCTCAATCTCGCGCCAATCCAATTTGGTTGAAAAATTTCTTAGACAAATCAAGGCCCAGAAAATTGTTCTTGATTCTTCAGTCTACGGCTCTCTAATTGCTTCACAGATTATTGGTAAGAAATCTCGGAGTGCTTTTGCAATATTCAATGAAGCGAATGAATTGGGTCATGAAATTGGACACAACATTTGTAACTCGCTCCTTGCCGCTCTTGCCTCCGATGGGCACATTGGTTCAGCCAAACGGATGTTTGACGAAATGTGTAACAGGGATATCCGTGTGAGTACTTTTGGGTTTGGAGTTTTTATTGGAGGGTTTTGCAAAGTCGTAGATCTAAATGAGACATTGAGTTTATTAGATAGGATTAAGTGTGGTAGATCGGAACTTAATAGGTCAACTATTGCACTTTTGATTGTTGATGGGCTTTGCCGAGTGTCTAGGATTTCGGAGGCTTTTTCAGTATTGGAGGAACTTAGGAGCAGAGAATACAAGCCTGATTTTATGGCGTATAGGGTTGTAGCCGAAGCTTTTAAGTTGGCTGGTCAACCAATAGAAGCTGAGAATGTCTTGAAGAAGAAGAGGAAGTTAGGAGTGGCGCCAAGGGCGAAGGAATATAGGGAATTCATTTTTGCTTTGATTTCTGGAAGACAGATTCAGCAAGCAAAAGATTTAGGTGAGGTGATTATAAATGGGAACTTCCCAATAGAGGATGATGTTCTTAATGCTTTGATAGGATCAGTTTCAGCCAGTGATCCTGATTCAGCAATTCTGTTTTGCAAGTTTCTCATTGAGAAAGAGAGGTTCCCTACCATTCTTACATTGAGCAATTTAAGTAGAAATCTATGTAAGAATGGCAAGATCAATGAAATGTTGGAGGTTTTTCAGATTCTGACTTCGAAGGATTACTTCTCAGATGTGGATAGTTACAATTTGATGATTTCATTTTTGTGCACAGCAGGAAGGGTGAAAGAAGCTTACAAAGTCCTTCAGGAAATGAGGAAGAAGGGATTCAGCCCCAATGTCTCTTCTTTTAATTCTCTAATGGAAGCTTGTTGTAAAGAAGACCTTCTACGCCCTGCAAAAAGGCTGTGGGATGAGATGTTTGCGAGTGGGTGTCATGGAAACCTAAAGACTTACAACACTCTTATCAGGAAGTTCTCGGAGACAGGTGAAGTTGAAGATGCTCAGCGGCTCTTTCATCACATGTTAGAGAAAGGGGTAGCTCCAGATATTATAACCTATACGTCTCTCCTCGAAGGGCTTTGCCGAGAAGCAAAAATTGAAGCTGCTTGTGAGATCTTTAACAGGTCTACTGAACGGGACATTGCACTTTCGCAAATGATATTAAGTACATTAGTCCGTTCTCTATGCAGGGAAGGTACATTCTTCATAAATGGAAACCATTTATTATGAAACATACCTTCGTATAGCTTACATTTATAGACTTTTTTGTACTTGCATTTTTTTCCAAATTATTTTTAATTTTTCTCATGAACGTTCTAGTGTTTTATAGAGCTAGATGTTCACTATCAGTTCTTATTATTTTTAAAATGTTATATCCTCCATACAGGTTATTTTTATGTGGCTTCAAAGGTAATCCATGGTCTGACGCCTGATATAGAAAATCATGACTCCCATGTGATTTTTCTAAAGTCTTTAGTGAATGCTGGAGAAATTGGGATGGCCGTTGAACATGTACAACAGATCAAGGACAATGCATCTACTTTGCAAGCAATATGCAATGAACTTGTTGCATCTCTTTCTTCTTCCTTAAGGCCAGAACCAATCCTACAGTTGCTTAGTCTAATGCAGGAAAAGGGTCTTGTTGACAAAGATGATGCTTGGATTGGTGTGCACAATAGAATGTTGGAGGATTTTAGACGAGGGCCTGTTAAATAAAATTCCACATGATCCAGTGCTCTTGTCTCAAATCTAGATGTTAGATCCTCATAAGAAGAATGATGATCAGCAAGAGGAAAAATTATTGGTTGTGACCAATTCCAGGTAACCATTTATTAATTACTAATCACATAGCTTTGTAGTGACACATAACCATACATCTTTACATGCAAGTGTTCCACCAACAGCAACAAGGCTTCTATATGATATTTTTGCAATAAAATTTGCTCCTACTTTTTTCAATGTTGATGTAAATCTTGCAACATTCCACCAGATGTAAATCTAAGAGCATGCACATTCACATATTAAGATTTTCAGTATTCTTGGAACACTGATTTTGTTCTTTGTTTTAAGCATGATAGATAATTAGTGTATATTGACATCATGGGAAGTAGCAAGAAAGATGAAAAGTTTAGGCAAATGGCCTCATATGAAGAGAATTTTGATGCATTGTATTAAATGGATAAGGAAGCAACAATCACAGGAAGAGAGAGGAATCTATGCAACCTTGACCATACCTGACAAAAAAGACAAATCAGACACCATCAGTGACTAAAGTCTAACTAGAATTTGCTCTGTTTGATTGTAGACAAGGGGAGACATGGATTTTAGTCAGGAATTTGTAGTGCTTGATGCCAATAAAACCACCAAGGCTACAAGAGCAACCAGCTTAATGGAGATTTCCCACTTTCGGGATCTAATGGAAGCTATTGGTTTTCCTTCCTGATATAATATAGTTGAATCATACCTTTAAGTTTATTGGGCATTTGGGGTTTTGGTTGTTGAATGATATGAAATATATTGGATTTATGTTCTGTTGATTTTCTAAAAAAGAAAAAAAAAAAAGAGGAACATGGATTCAATTAATCCATCTCATATTGTAATATGATTAAGGGCATGTTTGGTTTTTGGATTTTGAGAGGGGGGAAAGTTGGTCAATGGGATTTTGCAGGTATAGAAGAATGCAGTAGCTCAGAAGATCGAGAAGAGGCCTTAAAATTTGAAGTTCCAGTCAGAAGACTTGGGGTTGATTTAGGCCAAAGAAGAACTTCTGATATCAAGGTTAGGGGTGATGGTGATCCTGAGACTTTGAGGAAAGGAAAAGAAACAAGCAGGTTCCATCTTGTCCATGTGTCAAAAGTTTTCTCTCGTTTGAAAGATGGGCTTGTTGGTGCGGGTCCCACGAAAAAATTTAAGAAAGTATATAAGAAGAGAGGTTCAATAGCTAAAGGTTCAAAGACGAAGATAACTGAGCTCTGAGTTGTTAAAAGTCAAGATCTAGGAGGGAAGGTTCAGAAGACACTGGCGTCTGAGGAAGGTATGGTTCCAAGGTCAGAGACTGAGGATAAAAAGGAGGGGTGGTTAAGGCAATGTGGAAAACTCATCTATGTCTTCTTTAGCCATTGTAATTGAGAGGGGGGGGGGAGTGGGGATTAAATGTTTTGTTGACAGGGAGGTTAAGGTGGGCAAGAGTTTAGGTCTGTTCTTTTGGGGTGGAGAGGAATTCGCTAGAAGGGCTTTCGAAGTATTTGAAAAAAACAAGAGGGAGGAGAGCTTAAGGAAGATCACTGTTGGGAAAGGAGGAGAGGGATGGAATGAAGGAGATGGACAAGACAATTTTCTTGAAGAAGACATTTAAATTGCTGTGTAACGATTGGGTTTCTCCATTGTGACTTGGGTGACCAGGGCTCAAATCTTGGAAACAGCCTCTCTGTATGTGCAGGGGTAAGGCTGTCTACATCTGTCCCTTCCTAGACCCTGTATTGGCAAGAGCCTCATGCACTGTGTTGCCCTTTTGTTTTAGATATGGGATTTGTAATTTAGGCTCCGTTTGGAAGGAGTACAAATACAAATACGTAGAGTGCAAAACCTTGTATTTTGTATGTATTTGCACTGTGCATATTTGCATTTGTACTCCTTCAAAACAGAGCCTCAGGAAATCTGGATTGAAGCCTCTCTATCCTAAAAGCTATAAATATTTTGATTAGTTTTATCTTTCCTGGTAGTTAGTCCATATATTTTCTCATATCCAGGTTTATTTTCCAACGATACTACATTACAAAAGTGCCTAGGGTGCATACATTAATTTTATGTCTATGCTAACAGGTATTTTATCCTCTTTAATCCATTTGCTTCTTTCTTTATCAGCTTTAGTCACAATAGCACTAACCTTGCCAAATTCAGGTTAGAATCCTGATACAGGTTATTAAAAACCCCCATGTTTCTTGTGCATTTATTTATTTAAATGTGTTTCGATTGTCTTAGTGATTGGATAAGTAAATGTGTTTCTCTAAAAGAAAGAAAGTCCGAGCTTCTAATTACCACTGATGTGCTTCTTTAGACTATATGGAAATCAAGAAATTTTATTTTATTCGAAGAAGCTAACTCCCCTCCCCTTTTGATATGAGCTATGTTTCTAGGCAAGTGAAGATATTGATAGAGTTTGAAGCGATACTCGCCAGATTCAATATCCAGAGACAATGGCAGTTCAGTTTTCCTTTTTGCGTCCCCTCCTGTAGCAGGGGTTGGTAAAACTTAATACAGATGGAGGTTTTTTTATTCCAAGTTTGGTGTGTTTTTTGTGTCATAGCCAGATATCAAAGTGGGGAATTTTTGTGACAGCCTGCTTTGGCCCATGTTGGGCCTTAATTGTTCCACAAGCAGAAGCTATAGTGATTTTGGAAGCCTTGAATTTAGCAAGAAGACTGGGTTTTGACAGGGTGATTGTGGAATCTGATAGCAAGGTTCTGGTTACAAGCCTAGAGCTAAAAGTTTCAATTTATCCTCAGAAGTGTTCTTTCTCGTGAAGGTGAAGTGCTCTCAGTCTCCTGTTTTGTTAGCAGGAAGCTAAACATGGTGGTGCACTCTCCGGCTAGGAAAGATCTGATTGATCAAGGTTCTTTTGTCCATCCTTGCCCGGACTGGGTTGGGGCTCTAGCTAGAGCAGATTTGATTAATTTATTGTGGTTTCTCTAGTTTTTGTCTATGCTTTTTTTAGGTTGCTTTGTAAGTCTGGACCTCTGTTTCTTTGAAATGAATATTCAGGTGTTTTTAGTACCCCAAAAAAAAGGATTCGTAGGGAAGTATGGACTACTTCAAGACAGGAGGACATGATTCATTGTTTATTTTCCAAATATGTAAAAGTAAAACCAAGAGGAAATCTTCAAGATACGCTTCTATGGTTGAGATTGCTAGTCCCAAGGTACTTTTGCCATTGTAGTAGAGGTCATGTCAAATATGTATCCCAGATTTACAAGTTTATACATTTGAAGAATTTACACGTTGTAATTTACAAGTTTATAGAGGCCATGTTACAAGTTTATACATTTGAATAATTTACTCTTCACTGGGCCTGAGAGCATTCAAATTTTGACGAATGTTCAACTTCAACTCAAGTCTACCCAAGTTGCATAAGATGATTTTATATAGAACATTTACAATAAATTCAAAATGCATAATAACCCACTATCACAAATTAATATGCATAATGCATCCAAACTTAAAGAATATGTTATACATGAATGGCAAACCAATAGGTGATGGATGAGTGGTAAAACTAAGTCGTATGAAGGAACTTGGGAGTAGTTCCAATAGGTGATAAAATGAGAGAAGGTAGATTGAGATGGTTTGGTTATATGCATAGAAGAACATCTACATTAGAAACATCCATCTGTTACAAGTTGAAGGGGCTAAAAGAGATAGGGACAGACGGAAAAGGACTAGATTGGAAATGATAATAAATGATTCAAGTGCCTATAGATAATGCAAGAATGGATGTCATATGGCACTGAAGAGAAAGAAATGGAAAAATAGGATTAATGTACTCCCGCCCTCTGATAAGTGGCATATAAGGGCTAAATTTCGAAAAATACAACTAAGATCCAGTGAACAAACCCTGTGTTCCATTTGCAGAGGGGAAATCTTCACTAGTGAATACAGCTCAAGAGATCCACTAGGAGGTCAGTTCCACAGGCACGACCGCATGAGGCACCACATTTCGATTTGTTTCAAACAAGGTTTTTAAAACCGAACTAGACAACTAGCCATTCAGGGGTCTGGTTTCCGGGTCAACTGGTCTGACTGTTCAAACTGAACAGACTGCCCGTTCTGACAAAAAATAAAAAACAGCCAAAAACCACTGGACAGTTCGAACGGTTCGAATGCCTGGGTCAGTGATTTGCTGACCAAATCAACAGTTTTTTGCCAAAATGATGGTTCTGGGGCAAAATGGACAGGTTCCCGGTTTTTCGGTCCAGTTTTGAAAACCATGGCCTCATGTGATCGTTTCCAACAGTATGTTAGTTACAAACTTGTCTTGAGACCTCACTAAAAAGGAAATTACCCAATGTTGGTCCCCACCATCTGTCTAGGTCTCGAGACTTCATTCATGGACAGAAATATAGGTTTTATTTATGCTCTAAAATCGGACTTGAGGGAGACTTGAAGGTGGTTATTGATTGAGGATTGCCGGGGAATTGCAAATGACTCTGAACTGGAGATCAAATATTCTCATGTTATAGCAAAGCCAATCAACATGCCGATACAGAACTAATGTGGACCATTGGAGAAGCATTACTGAGATTTCTTCTATTTTGTAATTTTATTTTCATGTTATTGCTTTAGCCGACTCTTGGGGCTGATCTGTCCCAAAATATGTTTATTTTCCTTCTGTTACCAAAAAAATAGATGCCTTGCTAGACCATACATGCTTCCAACAGACTTTGGTGGCTGTTTTATGTATTTGGATCTTGTTTTTTTGAAAAAAAAGTAAGGTAGTATTATTTCTGAAGAAACATACAAATGGAGGAGCATACACAACATCAGATGTCCATAAACTAACTGAATTTAGAATCGGAAACATGTTCTGATTGCTAAACTCAGGAACAACTGATAACCAAGAAGCAAGTTTAGCCACAATACAATTGATCAACTCATCAGAACTTTTACAAAGATCATTAAAAATTCTATTGTTCCTCTCAGACCAAATAGTGCTGACCACTGCGGCTGGAATGGTCCTCCTAATGATTTTTCCTCTTTTTTGATAGACCCGAAATATACCAGCTGTGAAGAAGTTCCTGAATCGATCCTGGCATCACCCAGTTAATGCCCACCACATGCAAGAAGTGAGACCAAATCCTCCAACCAAAAGAGCAATGAATACATAAGTGATCCATGGACTCTTCCATTTGACCACAGATCCCACATTTTAGGTCATCCAAGGTGATTCTTCTTCTCATCAGACTGCTTTTTGTTAGACATTTCTTTAGAGTTGCAGCCCAAGCTAGGAAATTGACTTTGGAAGGGGTAAAATAAGATGCAAATGTAGGATGGAACTTCCTGTAAGTTGGGTAATGGCCTTTTTTTTTGTAAAAAATAAAAATAATTTTATGTTTTGATTTGATTCAACATTCTGTACGACTTGGGATACGATTATAAGCTTTAAAACATTTAAAGGCATGTTTGCTTTTGTGTCTAACAAACAGTTAGGCTCAGTTTGAAAAGAGTACAAATAAATACAGTATAAACACATACAAAATACAATATTTTATACTCCAAACTGAGCCTTAATAATGTTGGTTGTCCAACTAATTGGATGTGTACCAACTCATTCAAAAGTTTGGGTCATCAGAGAATCTAGCCAGGTGGTGATTTGCCATGACATGCACTTGCAAACATGTAATTTCTTGTCTCGTCTGTGCATAATTTGGATCTTGAGCAAGCAATGCCTGTTCATGCATCATAGGCTCCAACAATAACACAATCTTGTTATATATGCACGTTATTGCCCAAACACAATCTAGTTATCTCCTGTTAAGCTGTTTCTGAGTTCAATACTTAGAGAAGAAAACTACGATCGATCTCTTTTTTTTTTTTTTTGTATAAGTAAGGATGAATGGTGAAAAATGTACGAGTGCTGTGAGTGTAGTCATATAAATTTGTGTATTGTAAATTGCAAAGAGTTTGGTTAAGAGAGTATTGTAATTGTAAATTGTAAATTTGCTCAATTCAGGACATTGGTGTAGGGTACTGTTGAACTTGAGATGGTTCTAGTTGCTCGCGCTCTCAACACTCAACAGTGTGCAGTATGCTTCGTGGTAATTGCTTAAATTAACCACTGTCGTAGCGGAATTTGGTGAAACAGAGGATGGTAGCAGGAAGGGGGGGGAACTTTTACCAGGAACATCCGGAGTCGCAAGTACAAAGCTAGAACTCGAAACCCACATTAAATAGAAATTTTGCCACACTTAATTCATCTGCATTCTTCGATTACGAACTCATGAAAGTATTCATTCACGAACCAATAAGAAAATATACAGCAGCTTCTACTCAGAAGGCCATAGAGGACGAAACCCTAACCCTAGAATCATAAGTGAGAGAAGAAACTCTGTGCGTCGAGCTTTTTTCTTTGAAAAATTATTAATGAAAAATCAGATCAGATAAGCTTGAAGGGGAGAGGCCACGGAGTGGATCTGGGGACCTCGACCTTGTCCTTGATCCTCTCGATCTTCTTCTCCTTCTTCGGTCTTGCGTTGCCGTAAGATCCCTTGAACCGCTTCCCTTTCTTCGTCTTCTTGTCCCCTCGACCACACAGTACTGGAAATGGCGCTGCAGCTCGCTCCGTCATCATCATTCTCCTGGCTATCGCGCTGCACCACTGCATCGCCATCTTCCGTTCCTCCCAACAAACCCTCAACCGCAGTCTGCAGCTATACACACTCACCAACTTAAGACCTGCTGTAACGTGCAAAATTGTAAATTAATAAATTTGGTTACTCGATGTAATTAATATACGAATTACGAAAGGGCACCTCCGTAGGATTATGGGTTCTTTCTTCCCACTCTCATCATCCGCCGTCCAACTTTGTTACATCCTGCTCCACTATTACTGTAGAAAACTTTGGAGCGAAGGCTGAACGAAGCGAACATCTATGAGATCCCGTCGTTATCTGTTAAGGTCCGTTTGGCTTTTAGGAATAGGGGTTTGGAATCGGAATGGGAATAACCGAATAAGGGTTTCCAGGAACAACTATTATATCCTGTTATTCAGATTCCTATCGTTTGTTTGATAGGAATGAGATTCCGATTCTCATTCTTAAGAGAACGGGATTCTCCCATATATATGGGGAATGTGATACTCGTTCCATGGTATGTCAAGCAGTAAAGAAATCGTCATAAAAAGCCCCCAAACCCTAATATTATTATTTTAAAATAATAAAATATTATTAAGGCCATGTTTGAAAGTGCTTAAAAAAGTGATTATTTTAAAAATAAGGGTATATTTTTAAGCCCAAATTTTCAATTTTATTTAAGTGCTTATATAATAAGCACTTATTCAAAAATTTTCTTTCAATATTATCCCTAATTGAATTTTAAAATACCACTTATAAAATTATCCCTATTTGAATTTTATAAAAATATTTTCATAAAAGTACTTCCGTAAAAGAGTACTTTTATAAAAAGTACTTTCATAAAAGTTCTTTTATAAAAGTACTTTCACAAGGTTCTTTTATTAAAGTGCTTTCATAAAATTACTTTTATAAAAGTGTTATAAAAGTACTTCCATAACAGTGTTTTTATAAAAGTGCTTTCATAAAAGTGTTTTTATATAAGTGCTTCATAAAAGTGTTTTTATAAAAGTAATTTAACAAAAGCACTTTTATAAGGGTATATTTTAAAATTTTGAAAGAAAATGAAGGAAAAAATAGTTTATTTAAATGCTTATTGGAGAAAAAGACTACCCAACGCCCAATATGAAATAAGTGCTTATTTTTTAAAATAAGCACTTGAAAAAGTTAAGTGCCAAACGCAAACAAATGCTAAGTCAAATAACCACTTATTTTTAACATAAGCACTCCCAAACATGGCCTAAAATAATAATAATAATAATAATTAATGTAGCGCGATCTAGCTACTCCCTGGAGGTGATGTGGCTTCCAATCAGACGACAAACTAGGTTGATCTGCAAGAGGAGGATAAGAGAACTCGGGGTGGCTAACCGGTCGCTCCGATGCTTAAGTTAGCAAACTTGTTGTGAGCTAGAGAGCAGAGAAATCATGTGTACCTTGTGCCCTCGAGGCTGGAGCCTTTATATAGTTGAGTCCTCGCGGGTTTCGCGGAGCGGTTCTGGGATTCTCGTCAGGATGCGATCTGTTTCCGCGTTAATTGAGGGATAACGTTGCCAACTGATAAGGCTTATCAATTCCACCCAAACCGGGCGGGGGGAAGATAAGGCTTACCATTACGAGGCGTGATTCTGTGAGGCCTGGAATCCGATGGAGAGATTCCCAGGGTCGTTACATAGGAGTTTGAGTCAATATCCCCGAACTGATGCTCTTTAGTTCCGAA